AGTCTGCATCCTGTGTCAGGGTTCCCGAAGAACATGGAGCTGACAGGTAATAATTTTGCTCGGCATAACGTGGCCAGCCCCGGCTGCCTGCTGGGAGACGGCTGGGCGGGAGGGCAGCAGCTGTTTGTAGCCTCCCGGTTGCAGCCGACCCTGACTCTGGGTACCTGCTGATAGCCACAGAGCCCGGGCACCACCCTGCAAAATACATGTCGACTTATTTTTGTGGAATGAATCATGACACTTCCAATTATTTCCACATAGTGAGAACATGAGTTTTATAACTCCACTAAAATGTTGAGGCAATTCCAAGAACCCAGAGCCACCTGTCATCCTAACAGGTCTTTGGACTGTAATGAAGATTACAGAAGTTTTGGTGTAAGGGCGGGTTGAGTTGAGGCTTGTGAGGATGAAAAGTTGGGTAAACCTTAATCTGTTCCTTGAGACAAGCAACAGGACAGCAGAGATAAACTTGGGTCTCCAGGGGTGCTCTGGAAGCTGGGTTTGGGACTAGTCTAAGTATCTTCCTAAGTTTCTTGACCTCCATGCACAAAATATTTCATATTATAAATCTTTCATATTATAAATAACAGGACTATAAAGCCCTAAGTGTATGTTTTTAAAATTACTTTTTGAAGAAGTTGTTCTTAACATATTTGCAGTATACAGTATACAAATACCAGAATGAGACCTACTTTTTAAACAGTATTTTGCATAATGGTGAACTGGACTGATAAATATATTATCTTTCAAGATCCAGTTACAGAATTAAACTCTGTGTATTTAATGTTACTGAATTATATTCTTTCCTTTTGAGTTATTGTTATTTGATTTCCTTGAGGGGTGGGATTTGTTTCCAATAATGCATTGAACTTTAAAGGTCAACCCAATGGTATATTTGGCTTTCTTTTCAGTTACTGCAGACTTAGCTACCTTGTGTAAGACTTGTGTTATCTTAAATATTTTACTTGTTCTGACCCTGATATAGGAACGAGAAGGGAAACTGAATATTAATGTTCTGATATTTCTGTTTTACATGTAGAAAGTTCACAAGTGCAGTAATAAAACAGTCAGCACTCTGATGCAATTAATAACACAGCATTAGGTTTATTTCAGTCTAATTGCATTTAAAAATGTGTGGAAGAATTTAAGCAATTTAAGAACAGAATAGCGCTTTGTCTTGGAAATTTGTGTGTCATGAAAACCAAGTCTGGTAAATAATGAATACAGAACGGGCAGCCACAATCTCTTCCTGAAGTTAGGCTGTAATATAGCAGGGTTTATAAGGGACAATATGGTGCTACATCATTGGTAAGGAAATGTGTATGTTACTTTTATTTCTAGTAAAATGAAAAAAGGCCTAAACTTTCTTGCAAATTAAGTCTTACTGATATATTCAGTACTCCAGGCTTGGACAACTATGACAAGTTCAGAATTCCACCCCATATGCCCATCTACTTTAGAAGCTTGATAGATGCTACATTATTTCTTGGCCCTGAAGACTGTAACCTAAGAAAAGTGTTAACATTGTGGAAAAAATGGATGGTGACAAATTCTAATGCCAGTGAAATATGTTGTTATTGACAGAAACATGGGAAACTGTTGCATGCAGGTTAATTGGAGAACCTGCAAAAAGTTAATGGTCAACCTAAAACAATGTTACTACAAGGACTTGGGTCAAACAGCTTTTCAAATCACAAAGATTTGCATGAGAGCAACCCAAAGACCAATCCGGAGGAAGCCAACAGACATGAAACCCAGGCAGAGGATGGTGACCGTTTTGAAGACTCCTCTGTTTTAAAGTAATTCTTGTTTTTTGTGTGTTCTTGGCATGTTGCCCTTGAATGTGTGTAGCTTAACATAATAACATGTGTACAGCAGCAGTGCTCAATCTTTTGGCTTCACAGGCTGGATAAGTGGTGTGGGTCTAGTCCATGGGCTGGCTGAAGCCTGTTTTGCCCTGCCCACTCTGCTCAGCCCTGATTGGTCCTGTGGCACCCTGCTTAGCTTCAAGCCGTCCTGATTGGCTTCGTGTACTTAACTTAGAGGATGGGGCCATGCTGTATGTGCTGAGGCTCCCCAGGGTCTAGAAATTTTACAGCAGGTGACTGGGCACTAGTTTTGCCAGCACTGCCTCACCACCAGATTTTCAGACCCTGTAGGGAGCCCCACCAGCCAGATGACATGGCTCCATGGGCCAGATCTGACCTGTGGGCAAGGTGGGGGGTTGAACACTCCTGATTTTTTTTTTTTTTTAAGTTTGCTTTGTTTTCTGAGGGGGGGACAGGTCATGTGTGCATGTCCTGTGTTCATGATGGCATCAGTTAACATGCCAACCACCAGGCCTGATTCCTATGTGACTTCTTAGATAACTGGGAGAGGTGGTTGGCTGTGTTGGCCTGCAGTCATTCAGAAAGCAGTGGAGAGAGGCACCTTCATAGGCCATTCTAATAAGATATATGGAGAGAGTGAATGCAAGCTTTGGTGAATGCAAGCTCACTTTATCAGATGATGTGAGAGGACCCGCATGAAGCTCCTTATGCTTCGCTTCCTGCCGGTCCTTTCACAATACTTGGTGAAGTAAGCTTGGGTTCATAGAAGGAAGAGAGAGAGAGAGAGAGA